AGCTGACCCTCCTAAAACAAAGACCTCTAGATAAGCTGACTAGATTCACCAGAAGGGCAATTAGTGGGGAATGGCTGGGGGTGCCAACAACACAGCAGACAGTAGCAGGGATATCAGAGTATAAGGGCTCTAGTGGGGAGAGGGAGGCTATGGGTGGGTGCAGTCTGGGAAGTCAGTGTAAAAATAAATAAATTAAAAAAATAATTCTTCAAAGCATAAAAATTACTCCTTAATAATTGGTGGATGTGAAAAACATTACCATTGAATTCTACCTGATGACTTTATATCCATGCTCAGATGCCAAGGAGCTCAGAAAGTAACTGACTGTGACGTAATAATCAGATACATAGAGATTAGAAATGCATGCGCAAACATCTTAGTGTCAATTCCATTAAAAATGAATTTTTCTGTAAGAAACTGTATTTTAATAATGAAATGGAGATCTTTTTTAAAGGTTAAAACTTCATATAATTTTATGTCTTAAAGGGTTTATACTGAGTACGATATTGTATAACTTTATTAATTCAACTGTAAACCTAAAAATTTACAGCCAATTTTGAAATAGATGGCATCTTAGCTCTGGAAATTGTTATTGAATATGTCAATGCTGCTGTCATGAAATGCTTCTTCTAATTATGTGGTTATTAAATAAATAATTTTTTTTAAAAAGAAGGAATTGCAGGGGTTGGAGAGAAGACTTGGTGCTTAAGAGCACTGGCTGTTCTTGCAGAGGACCCAGTTCAATTCCCAGCACCCATGATTCTGAGCACCCACTTGGCAGGTAACAACTGTCTATTACTCCAGTTCCAGGGGATCTGACCTCAGAGCACTGAACAACACAGGTCACATACATACATTCAAGCAATACAAACAAAGTTTAAAACAAAATATTTTTTTAAAAAAGGAATTGCAAATGAATGCTGTCAAATTTCTGTATTGGTTCAAAAATTAGGCTAGTAACTTTTTTCTCTTAAAGATTTTATCTTTTTCATTGTGTGTATGTGTGTGTGTGGGTGTGTGTGTGTGCGCGCGTGCACTCGCACACACTGGTGTGGGGTTATGGACACATGAGTGCAAGTGCCCTCAGAGACCAGAGGCATCAGATCCCCTGGAAATTCCAGTTATAGGTGGTTGTGAACCATTTGACATGGGGGCTGGGAATTGAACTCAGGTCCTCTGCAAGAGTAGCATGTGATCTCATCTGTTGAGCCATCTTTCCATCCTGTTAGGTTGGCATCTTTAATCATGCTTTTATTCTTCAATGGTATAAAACCGTATTTTCCTTTCCAATGTTGACAGCAAAGTTCATAATTAAACTTTTTTTTAATCTATGTGGTTAGAAAGTGTAAAACTTTTCTCTATATATGACACTGTGTTACCTAATGATTTTCTCTTGAAATTTTATTAATATTTTACTTTCAGCCAGGACTGTGTATTTAACCAAGTTTTCTTTTTCTAGAAGGCACTGGGTAAGATTTCTCTGAGGGCTGTGAAATTACTCCAAAGTTAAGAGTGCTTACTGTACATCAAAAGGACTAGAGATCGGATGCTACCACCCATATAAGCTGGGTGTCTCACATACATCTGTAACCAGTTCTGAAGAGCTCAGAGACAGGAAGATCACTGGGGCTTGCTGGCTTCCAGCATAGTCAAGGTATAGTCCCAGGTATAGGGAGTGACCTGACCTCAAAGGAACAAGCTGAGTAACAGAAGAAAACACCCAACACCCTCTTTTGGCCTTCACAAATACACACACAGGCACCTACACCCACCCATAAGCACATATTCTCTCTCTCTCTCTCTCTCTCTCTCTCTCTCTCTCTCTCTCTCTCTCTCACACACACACACACACACACACACATACACACATAAAATAAATTTTTTAAAAGATTCCTTTGAGCCAGCATGGTGGCAACACGCCTTTAATCCCAGCACTTGGGAGGCAGAGGCAGGCCGATCTCTGTGAGTTCAAGGCCAGCCTGGTCTACATAGTGAGATCCAGGACAGCTGGGGCTACAGGGAGACCCTGTCTCAAAAAGACCCCCAAAAAAAAGAAAAAAAAAAAGATTCTTTTGGTTTCTTTAATATTGTTAAAGCATTTCTTGGATCTATAAACAAGCTATCTAAGTTTTCCAACTCTAAAGACCAAGGAACTAAGAAACTGTTTAAAAAAAAAAGTTGCACCAATCTCCCAACCCAGAAACTTCAATGTAATTACTTCTAAAAACTGACAGTGCTGAGGCTGGAGAGACAGATAGCTCAGCAGAGGACCTGGGTTCATTTCCCAGCACCCATGTGAGGTGGCTCACAATGCCTGGAGACTCCAGCTTAAGCTGATCTGATGCCCTCTTCTAGCTCTACAAGTACCTGCATGCATGGGGTGTACATACATATCTACACTCAGGCACACAAATCTATACAACATAAAATAAATAAATCTTAAAAGGGGGAGAGGGGCTGGAGAAATGGCTTGGTGGTTAAGAGCACTGGCTAGTCTTGCAGAAGACCTGGGTTTGAATCCCAGCATCCACATGGAGGCTAACAATTGTCCATAATTCCAGATCCAGGAGATCCAACACCCAAGTCTGTCTTCCTCATGCACTGCACGAGATGGGTGCTGTAATACACATGCAGGCAATACACTCATACACATAAAATTTTAAAAAATAAAAAAGAACACTGGTGATAGGCTCTAAGACACTCCCAAAAACAAAGTGAGAATTGAATTGTATATTACCTCTTCTTTAATTTCTTCTTTTTCTTGGACTAGTGGTTTTGGCTCAGGCTTAACTGGTTCCAAAGGTGGAAGGTAGTTTTTAGTATAAAGACTTTCAAATAGTTTGTCCACAAAACCTGAAGTTTCTAAGGAGAAGAAATAATATTTAAGTGTTATACAAACAAAAAACATGTTTAAACATCATTAGCAACACCTTAGGAAAACAAATCTTTTACACTGCTGTTAGGATTAAAAACAATTATCTTAAAGAAAGGGAAGTCTGTTCTGGGGACTGTTTTGGTTTTGTTTCTTTTTCAATTCTTCTGATAACTGCATGTGTACAAATGATATAGAAAGATTATTTGCTGCATATGTAAGAGCAAAAAACTAGAACAAACCAAGTTTCCATAAGCAAGAAACTAATAAATAATCATGTAAGAGAACACAAAACTTCTATAGAGTCTATAAGCTTTCAAAATATCTAAGACAACATTCTGTGCATTTATCTATATAAAGACTCTGACAAACTGTGTGCTATAGGAGGGAAAAGGGCATATGTAGACCAGGAAGAATAGATTTCATGGTATCACCTTACTGCCTACTCAAAAACTAAATTAAAATACTTTTTAATTTGTTGAAAAAAAAATAGTTACATGAAGATGATATGAAACTTCTTATGTAACTGTATTTTGGCTCTGTTGCAACTCTTTTGGACAAACAGAATGGAAGAAATGGGTAAATTTGCTGAAAGTATAAATATCAAAATATTTATAGTTTTATTAGCACACTTGCCTTGCCCAGCATTGGAAGGCAGGAAAGAGAAAGGTACAACATGGACTCTGCTCATACTACAATTATTACATGTTTTACATTTCTAAAACGTCAACTACCTTTTCCTCAGAAAAGCATCTTCGTATAAACTCATTTACACTGATAATTCCTATAAGCAAACATTTTTTTATAATGGTAAAACTTCAGTGCTTAAGTGGAACATGGCAGTTCACATCTGTAATCCCAGGATTCAGAAGAAGACTGAAGGATCACCCGAACTACATAATGAGTGCCAGGAGGGCCTGGACTAGAGTAACATTCAGCTTCAAAAAGACTCCCTCAAAATAAAAAATATTACTAGGGATGTAACTCAGCTGGTAGAGTGATTGCCTGGTATGCATGAAGCCCCAGGTTCAATCTCCAGCACTACACATAAACTAAGTTTAATAATAGACACCTGTAATCTTGGGAGGCAGAGGCAGGAGGATCCAGAGTTCATGGGAGTTCAAGGTTATCCTCCACTACACAGCAAGTTCAAGGATAGCCTGGAACAGTTATGTGTAATCTTAACGCAATAAATTAGACCCTTCGAAATGTTTTATAATCAAGTCTTTCTTCATAATCTTTTGGAGCTTTTTTGTTTTTGTTTTTGTTTTGTAAACAGGGTCTCCCTATAGCCCCAGCGGGCCTGGAACTGACTGGATAGACCAGGCTGGCCTTGAACTGAGAGATCTGCCTGCCTCTGCCTCCCAAGTGCTGGGATTAAAGGCATGCACCACCACATCCAGATTATCTTTTGGGTTTTACAACATGTATAACCTTTGTAATTTAAAAGACATATAACTCAATATAAAAAAAAAAAGAAAAGAAAAAAGATTAGGGCTGGAGAGATGGCTCAGTAGTTAAGAACACTGGCCATTCTCGTAGAGGACCAGGGTTCGTTTCCTAGCACCCACATAGCTAACAACCATCCATGACGCCAGTTCCAAGGCATCCAACACTTCTTCCGAGCTCCATGGGCACTGCACAACATGGGTGCACTTACATACATGCAGGCAAAATACTCATACACACAAAAAAAAATAAATAAAATATTTTTTTAAAAAGATAGGGCTGGTGATGAGTAAAAGTGCTTGTCACCAAACTTGACAATCTGAGTTCAATCTCTATGACCCACATGGTTGAAGAAGGAAACCCACTCTGGTAAGTTATCAAGACCTCCATACACATACTGTAGTTAGCACACATATGTGTGCGTGCAGGCAGAGGCAGGCACGCAGGCACACAGGCACACACACACACACAAAAGAACTGTAATCTAAAAAAAAAATCTGCCAGGCATAGTGGCACTCACCTTTAATCCCTTAATCCCAGCACTCGGGAAAGAGGCAGGCGGATCTCTGTGAGTTCCAGGCCAGCCTGGTCTACACAGCAAGTTCCAGGCCAGCCTGGTCTACACAGCAAGTTCCAGGCCAGCTGGGATTACAGGGAGACCCTATCTCAAAAAGACCATAAAAAAGAGAAAGAAAAAAAATCTATGTACCAAGCACTCTGTAGGTTCAAAGTCTCTACTTTCAACAAAAGGGCAAGCAAACAAGGAAGGGAGAGACAGATAAACATAAACAAGCAAATAAGAATAAGACAGGCTGTTAAAAGGTCCATGAAAGGAATAAAGCAGGGTTAGAAGGAGGAAAGGGTGACTGGAAGCATGGGGGTGTTCTATATTGTATGAAGTACAGTTGGGAAACTGCAAATGGATGGCATCTGAAGAGATCAGAAAGAAGTAAGAAATTCATCTTTCAGGCAAAGGTAAAACAAGTTCAAGGGCTCTGAGCAAGGGACGGGCTTGCCACAGTCAAAACCAAAAAGGTAGTCAGTGTGGCTTAGATAAGAGTAGGACTAGTGGGGATAGGGGAGGGAAGCAGGATGACCCTGAACTTCTGATCCGCCTGCCCCCAACTCCCAAGTGCTGAGTTACAAGAAAACTCTATCATGTCCAGTTTAAGATGGAAAGATGGGAAGTTAAAGGTACAAAGAGAAGAGGATCATGCCTAGCTCTTCTTGGATATTAAGACCCAGTCAAGACAGAACAAGAATGATGGGTTCACTATATTAACAAGGATAAGCAGCTTCAGAGGCTGAGGAGATAGCTCAGTAGGTCAAATGGTTGCTATAAAAGCCTAAGGACCTAAATCCGAACCCCAAAACCCATGTAGAAAAGCTGGGCATGCTGGTACTTCTCTGCAATCCCAGTATTTACTGGGTAGCCAGTCTAGCCTACTTGGCAAATTCCAGGCAAATAAGACACTGTCTCAAAAAACAAAGGTGGAAAGCTCCTGAGAAATGGCACCCAAGGTTGGCCTAGGCTCTCCACGTGCACATATGTACATGCACACCTACACACCTACATACCCACACACCCCCACACACATACACACACACAAATAAGCAACTTCACTAGCTTCAAGCAGTTATTCCTCAACATCAGTTAAGTGTTGCTTAAAGCACAATGGACTAAAAAAGTATTAAGAGTCATTGGTTTGTTTGTTTTTTTTTTTCTTTTCGGTCTTTGTTTCCCTGTAATGCTATGTAGACCAGACTGGCCTCGAACTCACAAAGATCCACCTGCCTCTGCCTCCCAAGTGCTGGGATTAAGGGCGTATGCTACCACACCTAGCCCTAGAGTCACTGTCTTAATATAAGGAAGAAACAAAGAAGGGGAAAAAAAACCTAAAGTGCCTGACAAGTATTTTAGCATTCATGAATGAACTATATTCAAGAATTCAAAGAACTTGACTACTTTCTTTCCTATAAACCTATGCTTGCTGCAGCACTACATTTACTAAAATAGGAATGATAGTGGTTAGTGATAGAGGTTAGCTTGGTCCCTGTGCAAGGATTACACTCAAATTCATGAAGCATTCCACTCCATTTTTTAAAAGCTTATACTTTCATGATGTTTGGTTACATCACTGTTGTTTTATTTGATACAGGGCCTTGTCTTGTGGCCCAGGTGACCTGGAATTCCCTTCATAACGCCAGGTTGGCCTCAAACTCATGATCCTCCTGTCTCAGCCTCCTAAGTGTTGGGATTATAGGCATATGCCACCACTCCTAGCTCTCTTCAAGAAGTTTTAAATTAAAAATATTTACCTAAAATACTTGATTGAATGCCTATAATTACCTTTTTGTAAAAAGACATCAAGTTGATCAGCACAAAAGGCTTTCAATTCCTTCTCAGGTTTGTCCTTCTTGACCAGTGCTACAACATAGTTGGCTAGGGCTGAAGGGTCAGCATCACATCTAGTTAGAGAAAGAAAAAAAAAAGTTGTAAGACATTGTATGCAATGATGATATTATTAATGAAGTCATCCCTATCTTGAAAAATCAAAGATTTAAAGTGACTGCAAGTGAGTTTCCTTTTCTGCTTATTTTTACAATATACTTACTGTGCCCCATATTTCCAAAGTGCTGATCATACCAAGAATGCTAGATCAGGTGTTCATTCATTTGCTTTCTCAATGGCAACAGGGAAAAGGTGACCCCCAAGCTGCTGTCTGGTCCAGCCTGTAAAGCACTGACAACACCACCCTCACGAACTATGTGCTCCATGTGATCAGTGAGGAAAAAGCAGGGAACATCATGGGACAGGTTTTTCCTCTTCTAAAGCATCTTTACCTAGAACCACAGGATCAGCATACAAAAATGACTAAATCAAGTCAAGCACATGGTGGTGCACAACCTTAATCCCAGCACTCAGGAGGCAGAGGCAGGTGGATCTCTGAGTTCAAAGCCAGTGTGCTCTACATATGAAGTTTCAGGCCAGCTGAGGCTACAGGAAGACCCTGTGTCAAAAAAAAAAAGCCCCCCCCCCAAAAGCCCAAACCCATCACTAATCTTCTCAATCACTATCTTAAAGATCTTTTTAAAATGGAAACATGGAAATAATACCTTAAACACTTCTTTTCCAGCTATAAGCAAGGAAAAGCTCTAAGAACTAGAAACAGGAAAAACAGAAGTGCTGGAAAAGCAGCAGAGATAAACCTTCATATTTTTTCTAGTCAGCAGTAACCTGACTCAAAATGCCAGAGCAGCACATGATTCTATGACACTCCTCCTATCTCTGCCTGAGTACTGGAATTAGAGATGTGCACCCCATACGCGGCTCCATAGGGTTTGTTTGCTTGTTTGTTTTTGGTCTTTATGAGGTAGGATCTCCCTGTCCCAGCTGACCTGGATTTGCTCTGTAGACCAGAGCTCCGCCTGTCTCTGCCTCCAGAGTGCTGGGACAAAAGGTGTGCACCACCCCGCCCTGCTTCCATAGCACTTTTTCTCAATTTTAATATTTTATTGAGTTTTTGTACATTTCATATAATACATCTTAATCAAATTCAGATCCCCTCCTTACTCTCCTATAGGCCCTTGAACTAGATTTCAGGTCTTTTGGCGTATAAGTTAAGTCCTATCTAGTCAAGCATTTCTACCCAGGTGTCCCTTGGTGCAAGTTCATCCACTGGAGTCTAGTAACCCTGCCTCCCACAGCATTTTTATAAACATCAAATGAACAGCATTCAGGATGACAGTAAATAAAACCAGTATGTAAGCACAATGATCAAATCCTTACAAAATGCTATTCACCTTTGTGTTTACACCCATAGGTTAAGTTATTATAGCAGCCATGTTTAGATGTTCTTCTTGTTGTTTGTGTTTTCATAGTAGATGGAATCCCACTGATATGGGCCAACAGCCCATGGAAAACAGACGATGCAGAGACCTGAAAATTCAGTGCCTTGCCACAATGGAAGGAAGATCATCCCACACCTATCATCCCCTCCAAGGCTGGGGGACTTTTGTGGAAGAGGTGGACAGAAAGAATGTAAGAGCTGGAGGAAGGGGTGGAGTGTTATCTGGAAGTGTCCTCCAACCACTATGCAAGCAAGCTATAGTCAAACCTCCTTCCCACACTTGTCAAGGAATCCATGAGGGAGTCAGTTACCCCTCCCACCCAATCAGTCGATCTTAGCTGCATGTAGGGAAGGGGCTAAGGATATATAAGGCAAAGCACTTATACACTTATACACGAGGCACCTCTCTCCATTTGTGCGGCTGTTGGGAAGTCACAGGATCTATATTTGAGTGTGGATTTTCCACCATAGCTGTAAATGGGGGAAGGGTGCTCACTCTTCTGTACATAAACCCCCATCCTATGCTCTGTTAGCAAGCCCAATAAATTCATTAGGACTTTCAAAAAAAAAAAAAAAAGAACAGTGCTAATGGAAAACTTCATTTTTCTACCAAAGTTGACCCCATATTGGCAAATCCTTTGGTCTTGGATTTCTTATTCCCCCTTAAATTTCATTGAATATATATTTTTATGTAACCTGCTTCAAGTTATTTCTGGAAAAATGTGTTAAAAATTGACTGTCTTTGGAATAAGTAAAATAAAATGCTAGTCAATCTGGGGCTAGATAGATGGCTCAAGGGTTAAGTGCACTGGCTGTTCTTGCAGAAGACCTGGGTTCAAACCCAGCCCACAAAGCAGCTAACAACCATCTGTAACTCCAGTTCCAGGGGATCCAATGCCCTCTCCTGTCCTCCATAGGCACTGCATGACAGGGGTACACTTACACACATGCAGGCAATATACTCATACACATAAAATAAAAATAAATCAAAAAAAATTTAATGCTATTCATTCTAATCCTGTTCTATAATCCTCAGGCCTCTCTTGTCAAACAAAAAGTTCAAGAAGTTTCAGCTTGGGGACTGGGGAGATGGCAAGCATTAAGAGTGCTGGCTGCTCTTGCAGAAGAGCTGGATTAGGTTCCTAGCAACAAAATGGCAGCTCACAAACACCTGCAGCTACAGTTCCAAGGGATCTAATGCCCTCTTCTGACCTCTGCAATTGGCCTTTGAGGGTGACACATGCATGTGAAGTACTTCCATGTGTGCAGACAAAGCACTTATACACATGTAAATACATAAACTAGCAAACATATTTTCAAAAAGACATCTCAGCTTATGAGAATCACATTATCAATCACATTTTTTCCAACAAAAGAAAAACCAAATTAAGGACTGGAGAAATAATGGCTCAGCAGTTAAGAGCACTGGCTGCTCTTGAGGAGGATACAGGTTCAATTCCTAGAACTTACATAGGTGGCTATCTATCATCTACAGCTCCAGTTCCAAGAGACCTAAAGGCCTCTTTTGGCCTCTGAGAATACCATACATGCATGTAGTACACAAACATACATACAGGCAAAACACTCGTAACATAAAATCTTTTCAAATATTTTGAAAATCCAAACAAAAAAACAGCACCTCCACTTCAAGTATGGAAGTTCATACCTATAATTCCAGTACTCAGGAGGCTGAGGCAGGAAGATTGCCAAGAGTTAGAGGCCAGATTGGGCTAAGAGACCCTATCCTAAATGAGCAAAAAACTAAACAAAAGTTTATATAAGAGTAAAACAGAACTTTGTTTCAATACCAATACAGTAATAAGAAAGAATAATTGATAAAGACTGTACCTAGAGGACTGAGGAGATGGCTCAGTTGAGGACCTGACAGCACTTAGGTTTTTAAAAAGCTGGGGATGGTGGCATGTCTATAACCCCAGCACTACTGAGGCAGAGACAGTCAGATCCCCAGAGCTCGATAGTCAGCCCAATCTAATCAACTGGCGAGTTCCAGGTTCCGAGAGATGAGGTAGAGGAATGGAGGAAGAACACCTGATGTCAACCTCTGACTTCCACATGCACATACACACACATCACACACACAACTTACATACACACACTAAGACTGATAACTAATTCTGACGGAGAAAACTTACCTTCAATTTTATAAAATAAAGAGGTAATTTAAAAAATTAGCAGTCAAGAGTCAATGTGGTGGCACACGCCTTTAATCTCAGCACTCAGGAGGCAGAGGCAAAGCTCTTTAAGAGTGAGGCAGCCTGATCTACATAGCAAGTTCCAGGCCAGCTGGGGCTACAGGGAGACCCTGTCTCAAGCAACAACAACAACAAATTAGCAGCAAAGGTCAAAGTGTGCTAAAAGCAAATATATATTATTATTTATATATTTAAAAGATACAAATTGGGCTGGGGAGATAGCTCAGTTGGATAGGTACCTGCCATACAAGCATGACGACCCAAGTTTGATCCCAAGCACCTACAGAAAGTCAGGCACAGTAATACGGGACTAATCCCAGCACACCAAAAATAGAGAAGGATTTCTGGAGTTTGCTGGCCTGGCTAGCAGACCTGGTAGGCTGAAGGTTCAATGAGAGACCCTGTTTCATAAAAATAAGGTGGAGAGCAAATTAGGAAGACACCTGAAGTCAATCTCTGGCCTCCCCATACACATGTGTAACCCATACACAAAAACATAAAATTCAAAATAAAGTCAAGATTTGTTTTCTTAATTAAATATATTACTTGGGCTGGAGAGATGGCTGTTGATGGTTTGAATGAAAATGTCCCCCATAGGCTCCAAGTATTTGGACATTTTGTCCCCAGTTGGTGATGCTCTTTTGGGAGGTATTAGAAGGTGTGGCTATGCTGGAGGAAGCACATCATTAGGGGCAGGCTTAGGGAATTCTTAAGCTTGCCTGATCTCCAGTCACTCTCTTGCTTCCTGTGCCTGCTTGAAGACGTAGAGCCTAGCTTCCACTTCTGCTCCAGCCACCTCTGGCCACCATGCCTCCCTGCCATGATGGACTGTAATTTCCCTGAACCCGTAAGCTCAGATAAACTCTTCCTTTTATAAGTTGCTTTGGTCAGCGTTTCTATCACAGCAATAGAAAAGTAACTAATACAATGACTCAGCAGTTAAGACTCTGGCTGCTCTCGCAGAGAACTTGGGTTCAGTTCACAGCACCCACATGGCAGCAAACAACCATCCGTAACTCCGTAATTCCAGGGGATTTGACACCCTCTTGTGACACGGATGCACTTACATACATGTAGGCAAAACACTCATATACATAAAATAATAATATATATACATATATATTTTACTGGCTGGAGAGAAGGTTCAATGGTTAAAAGCACTTAGTGCTCTTGCAGAGGACCAGAGTTCAGTTCTCAGCACTTCCCAGCATCCACATTTGACAGGTGGCTCACAATCACCTGTAACTCCAGCTCTAGGGACAAACTCTTCTGGCCTCTCATGTGCACAACAACACAACACAGACACACAACTCAAAAGTTAAATAAATCTTTTTTGAAAAATTACCATGCTGTGTGTGGTAGTGCATGCTCCCAATACCAATACTCAGGAGGCAGAGGCAGGTAG